GCTTCAACATTGTCCCATCTAAGACGACTTAATTCTCCGATCGGGCGAGACGGAAAGCTTGCTCGGCCAAGGCAGCTGCATAACACTTTGTGGGGTATGATCTGTCCTGCAGAAACACCAGAGGGGGCTGCAGTTGGACTTGTTAAAAATTTAGCGCTAATGGCTTACATTTCCGTTGGAAGCCAGCCTTCTCCTATTCTTGAATTCCTGGAAGAATGGAGCATGGAAAATTTAGAGGAAATCGCACCATCAACTATTGGAAAGTATGTTTAAATGTCATATTAAACTACTCTTTATATTGCGAATTTTAAGTGCCTGTTTTGTCTTAGAACTTGCAAAATCTTTGTTAACGGATGTTGGGTTGGTATCCATAATGCACCAGATCATTTAATGGGAACTTTGAGAAAGCTCCGTCGGCAAGTTGACGTCATAGTCAGTGAGGTCAGTGTTGTCCGGGATTATCGAGATCAGGAGATTCGCATATATACTGATGCTGGTCGTATCTGTCGCCCTCTTGTTATCGTAGAGAAAGGGAAATTATTACTGAAAAAGAGTCATATTGAGCAGCTGAAGGACAGAGCCTATAGTCGATACAGGTTAGTAATCACTCCTTTATACTGCTTCATGGTCCATTAAATAAAACTTGAATTGTATTCTCCATTTTTGTCTTTATTTTTCTATTATTCGCATTTTGTTGATCGTTTGTATTGGATTACTGTTTTTTACTTAAAACTTAGCTATAGATTTTGTTATAGGTTCGTAAACTATTAAACCCTGCTTTCAATGTTAATTATAAATTTTATACTGTATTTATTATGGCGAGTGCCTAGCTTTACTTCGCAAGTATGTAACGCTTCCGTTATAAAACATAATCTTCAAGAGTAGTTTTTTGGGTCTTAAATCATCACTCAGTTGATGTCTTTATTTGTATTATCTCTCTTATTGATAAGTGATCATAGTATCTTTTCCCATCACTCATCTGTTGACTTTTATTATTTAATTTACTAGTTGCTTTTTTAAATAAAAATAATATGTATTTTTATGATTATCCTAGTTGTCCGTTTTTACGCTTTTTTCTGAATTACATTTTCTTTCAACATCATCATTAAACTCTTCTCTGTTATAAATTGGGGGTTATTTACTGATACCTGACTCTCCTAAATGTATTTCATAATCAGTTTTCCATTTAAATGAAAATGTTGTACTATACTTAATCTATTTGGCTCTTGCTTTTTATTTCCTCCATTATTTCTTATATATGAATTTTTTATCCAGTTGGACTGATCTTGTCCTGAGTGGCGTCGTAGAATACATCGACACTCTTGAAGAGGAGACCGTGATGATTGCTATGGGCCCCAGCGAGTTACGGGCTGTCGGAGATTACTGTAAAACACATACACATTGCGAGATTCATCCTAGTATGATACTCGGCATTTGCGCTAGCATAATTCCGTTCCCTGATCACAATCAATCTCCTAGAAACACTTATCAAAGCGCTATGGGCAAACAAGCTATGGGTGTGTATATAAGTAATTTCCATACGCGTATGGATACACTTGCTAATGTGTTATACTACCCTCAAAAACCGTTGGTCACTACGAGGTCGATGGAGTACCTAAGATTTCGAGAACTGCCCGCAGGTGACTTATATTATTTTATTCTCTTAGTATCTGTTATTGCATCGGTTTTTCACAGCATCTACTTTTTAATTACTCTAGCTTATTGTATTTAGTTTTATATTTTTGAGTCCCCTTTGTATAATTATGTCTTTGTCCTGATACAGATTAACTTTGCAACATTTGTTTTATAGCAGGATTCT